TCGTCAACGACTCCGTGCGAGAGCAAGCGGAGCTACTGGAGGACCTGCGGGCGTACCTGCTGCACGCCGAATACAAGGCGCAGCGCGGTGATCCGGCGGGCGGACTCGAACTCATCTCACACGCTCTCAACCTCATCGCGGGGCGTTTCGAGGTGCTTCAAGTGGAGGACGCCTCCGACTTTCGCACGGCGAAGCGCTTTAAGCTGTACCAGCAGAAGAGCCTGCTGACTTCTCGACCCTTCAAGCAGGCGGTCGCGGACATGGCGGCGATGGACCGTGCGGCAAGCGGATACGCTCGTGTCAACCGCGGCGGAAACAACGGGCCGATGCCGTTCTTACCCAAGCGAGGCCCCCCGCCCACGGCCAATTGCCGTGGGTTCCGGGGCTCATGCTTCCGCTGCGGCCAGCCGGGCCACGTGGCAAGTGCCTGCCCTCGGAACGGGCATGGAGGCCAGGGACCCGCTCCGGTGGTGTAGGAGCGGGCCATGAGACTAGGCGCTTGGGCGCTAGGCACGGTGCACTCTTGAGTGCGAAAACCGTGGGCAACCCTAGGGGTTTGCGATGGCAAGAGGCCAGCCCTAGTAAAGGGTGGGATAGGCTTGGGCCTAGGATAGGGAAGGGGAACAACAACCCCTCGGTCCCATATGTTGGCCACTTGGTGGCATGCTAGGAAAGCATTGCTATGTGTGTTGGTTGATTTAATAAAAACTACCTTCCTAAAGGCCTATGGTTTTGGCAAAGAGACTATGAAAATCAAGAGGAGGAGCAGAGAAAGAGAGAGATAGAGAGAGAGAGAGAGAGAGAGAGAGAGAGAGAGAGAGAGAGAGAGAGGGAGAGAGAGAGAGAGAGAGATAAGAGAGAATGAGAGAAAGCACAATGGACAACGGTGTCCATGGCCCTAGGCATCAGCCCCTACGCACTAAGGGTAGGCACAACCATGTCCTACCAAGTGGACGACAGGGCAAGAAAAAAAAAAACAAAAAAAAAGAAAAAAAAAGGGGGAAACGAGGAGAAGAAGAGACATGCGTTGACATGCGTTAACATTCCCGACACATTCGTTGACATTTCATTCAATTGTTCATTCTCTTCACACCTTCGATCAATGGTTGCCCGTACAAGTACATGCACACGCATGCTTTAACGTGGAATACTCAAAGCTTATACCACTTGGCCTCAAATGTACAGGAGCACGACGGTGCGAGGCGGCATGCCACGACGATCCGTACGAATTTGCCGTTACAGACAGAACTATCACACACATGCGCGGTCGTCTTCGCGCGACATTTGCGTGGTGGAGCTCATGGTGCCCCAGCAGCCTTGTCCTCTCCGTCATCGCCAAGGGTTACTGGTTGCCATGGAGCCACGGCCCACCGCAACATTTCCACGATCGCAATCATGTCGGGGCAAACACGCATGCCACGTTCACACGTACCGCCATCCAAGAACTCATAGAGACGGGAGCGGCAATTCCGATGGCCGCAACGGAGCTTACATGCATAAGTCCACTCAACGTGGTCGAGCAAAAAGACAAATGCAGGCTCATTCTTGATCTGAGGAAAGTCAACGCCAACTTGATCATCCCCAAGTTCAAGTACGAAGGGCTCAGCCGCGTCGCCGACCTTGCGCGCGTTGGGGACTGGATGTTCTCCATTGACCTCAAATCTGGTTACCACCACATCGACATCCACCCATCGTGCTGGAAGTTCCTTGGCTTTGAATTTGATAAGCGCACATACGCATTCCGTTCACTACCATTTGGCCTCGCGACAGCTCTATTCGTTTTCACGCAGCTCATCAAGCAACTAGCTCGGCGTTGGCGAGAACAAGGCATCCGAGTCGTACCTTACGTGGACGACATCTTATTCCTCTGCCAGTCGAAAGAGGACGCGCAAGCAACTTGCCAGCGGGTGATATTGGATCTTAAAGAGGCAGGCCTTGTGATAAACGCGAAGAAATCACAACTGTCACCATCGCAGCGTCTCCGATTCCAGGGCGTAGAACTCGAGACCGATATCGGCCGATTCTCCATCGGTCCGGACCGACGAGCCTCACTACATGCAACCATCCGGAACCTCCTGAGCGCAAGCAAGGCATGCCGACCAGTCCCGGTCCGCCACGTGGCCAGAATCACTGGCATGCTCGCATCGATGGGTGTCGCACTTGGCGCGACAGCTCGCGCATTCAGCCATGCTATGTTACAAGTGATCGACGACGCACCGTCATGGAAAAGCAGCGTCGTTATCCCCCCATCTGCAGCAGAAGAGCTCCAATTTTTGCTCGAGGAGTTCGACCGTTTCAACGGCGCACCTTTTCACGTCAAGAACAGCTACGACGCGGTAATCCACGTGGATGCCAGCTCTCATGGTTGGGGCGCCACTCTGACCACATTTCCGGGTGGCATCGAAGAAGCTAGCGCAACCATGTCAGAGCCGCTACGAGGAACGTCCAGCACGCGACGGGAGATCAAAGGCGTCCTTTGGGCGCTACAAACGTACGCGAACAAGATCAAGCAAAAACACGTTCTCGTGCGGGTGGACAACCAGGGCGTATTCTTCATCCTTCGCAAAGGCGGCTCTCACAGCCCCGACCTCACAACGGCATGCAAGAGCATCATCCGAACATGCATGACGCTTGGCACGCGCTTGATCATTGAATGGATTCCGCGCGAGCTCAACACACACGCCGACGAGCTTTCAAAAATGGTCGACCACGACGATTACGCGCTGAAAACGCCGTGGTTCCGGATCTTGGAACGTCGTTGGGGTCCTCACTCCATCGACCTTTTCGCCAACTCCCGCAACACCCAACTGCCGCGCTTCTGTTCAAAGATTCCCCACCCGGCAGCCATTGCAGTTGATGCGTTCTCGATCGCGTGGACATCTGAAAACAACTTCGCCTTCCCCCCACCTCAACTGGTCCCAGCCGTCCTCCATCACGCACAACGCACCCATGCATCACTCACACTGATAGTTCCGCACTGGCCAGGCGCAAGCTGGTGGCCACTCTTGCAACCCTCCCCACGCACTTGGGCACCACACATCCACGCGCACATCCCTCTGACACACGGAAGCCAATGTCTAGACGTAGGGTCCCATTCAACTGCTTTTTCGGGCATGGGACTACCGCACAGCCCAATCATTGCACTGCGAGTGGCATTTGACTAATTCAAAATATATACACCTTGTGTTCAGATTTGCTCCCAAAGTTACACGACCAACTGATCAACATGCTCGCGCAGTCCCGCGCCGATTCTACGATTCGGACATATGAACCATACTGGGCCAAGTTTCGAGCCTTCTGCACAAAAGTGAACCTTCCATTCCTCCCAGCATCCGACATGACCCTCGCGCTATACCTAGTACACGCAATCCGACGCAAAGCCACCCTGTCCGTAGTGCAGCTAACCTGCTCGGCGGTCAGCTTCGCCCATCGCATGACCGGGAGCAAATGCCCGACAACCGGGCCGTTCACCACCCAAGTCCGTGACTATGCAAAGCGACACTGCCCACGCCCTACTCGTCTGAAGGAACCCGTCTCGATCCAACAAGTCCAGGAAATGGCCGCGAGCTACTTGCAGTCCGACGATCCTGCGCAATTTCAGAAAGGGTTGATACCCATCCTCATGTACTCCGGATTCCTGCGATACTCTGACCTAGTAGCCATAAAATGGCAAGACATACAATTCGTCGACGAGGTCATGTGGATTCTCATACCACACTCCAAGACCGATCAAGCTGGTCACGGCACTTGGATACCCATTGCAGCAACGGCGGACCCCTGCTGCCCAGTGCGTGCACCCGACGCTTCATCCGACTCGCTGGCTATGGCCCACGGTCAGAGGGACCATTGATTCGTGTCTTCGGTCACGGTTCAACCAGCGAGGGCCAGGCTAGGCCACCTTCATACACTACGATCCGGAACTGGTGCAAGGAAGCCTTCGCAAAGGTTGGCCTTGGAGAGTTGCAGCTAGGCACCCATTCTTTCCAAAAAGGTGCAGCCACAGTAGCAGCCAACACGGGAGTGCCAGACAGAGTCTTCAAACGGCTGGGCAGATGGCGAAGCGACACAGCAAAGGAAATGTATGTTACGCCATACGTCGAGCCCCTCATCGAAGCCTCCCGTACCCTACAAGATTCGACGCATGCGGTGTCATCGGCGCAACACACAGAGGCACTCGTACGCAACCGGAGGCCCCCGCTGCCCATGTCTCAGAGACCCCATTTGTAATGAGAACGATGCCAATTGATAAGAAAGAAAGCAAGCTTTCTCAATATTATAATTTTTAAACACACATGTAGTGTTTTTTAAAATTGTGTATTGTGAAAGCGAAGCTGCTTGTACTGCACAATTGGCATCGTCGAAGCGCGCTAAACGCCCTTCTCCAACTACAAAAACCGTGGGTTGGAGCTCATTTCCCTCCACCCACGTTTCTCAATGTTCAAACGGCTCACTCAACATTCCCACCACCCACCCCAGTGTAAACCGCCTTGCTAATGCCACTTGGATAGGGTACATAATAGCTAGTGTTATTAGTCCGCACTAGCTTATGTCGAACGATGATGCAAATGTTGTAATACGCCATTTGTAATGAGAACGATGCCAATTGATAAGAAAGAAAGCAAGCTTTCTCAATGCAGCTGCTCTGTGCAGCCGGGTCTAGAGCAACAGTATGCCATCTTAACTTTCAACGATTCATCCTTTGGTTTGTGGATAGCTTGTAATGCAGAAACTTGTATATTACAATTTTTTGTTTGACAAACATGTAGCTCCAGTCTTACCGTTACACTTGAGAACATACAAGAACCATACAGTGACTACCTCATTGTCACCACCACACATCCTTGCAGCTTCACGAATGTGCCCGCTGCACTTGTGGCCCGGAAAATCAGCGTCAGCATGCCTGGCAGTGCACCACACGGCACATACACATGCCATGGCACGGCATGCACGCATGCATGGATGCATGGACAGCAGCGCGTGTGTATGCATGCAGTGCAGCATCAAGGGCGTGGGTGGTGGTGGGTGCCGCCCATAAGGCTGATGTGCTCGCACAGGCGGCAGGGCAGCGTGTCGAGGGACATTTGACGCGCTCGTGAGTAGTTGCCATACACTCCACACCTGCTGCCACCACCCCGGGGACATTGGACCAAAAGATGAGGGTGGGGGTGAGTGGGAGGGGCGCAGTCTTGAGTGGGAAAACAAATGGTGCAAGGAAAGAGCTGAGCAAGCAAGCGAGAGAGAGAGGGAGAGAGAGAGGGAGAGAGAGAGAGAGGATGTGATGGTTCAGTAGGTAGGATAAGCTATAGGCTAGTCGTGTAGCCATGGCTCAACTGCTGCACGATATGCTGGATCGGTTGTCTTGCCCGCCAGGTCTGGTTGCCGTTCTTGGCCTTACCTTGCAGTGCCCTGCCTTGCTTGCCGGCCTCGTGTGTTTGCCTTGCCTGACCTGCCCGGCCTGACTGGTTGTTTTGCAGATGTCCTGCCCGCGGCCTATCCCTGCCTAGCATGTTTGTTCAAGTCTATGCCTAGGCCTGTCTAGCACCTATCCCTGCCTTGCCTGTATCCCTATGAACCTATCAATGAAGGACTGCTTGAGAGAGGGAGAGAGAGAGGGAGAGAGGGAAGGCGGAGAGGGCAGCGAGCAGGGAGAGCACCTGCGCCAGGCGTGGTAGCCCATGTACTCGAGGGGGTCCGCTGCTATGCGCTTCACCATGGCACCCAGCTCCGCGGGTGACAGCCCCGACGCGTCAATGTACGAGTCGGGCGGGGCGAACGCTGCTATGTCGGGCGCACCGATGTAGATGGGCACTGTGCCTGCCATGTGCACGTGCATGCATCACATGCACCACAGCAGTGCACACACATGGGGGTGGTCAGGGAGGTACGCACACAATGGGCGCAGTGCACGGAGGAGGAGTGGCGGGACCAGCTCTCCCCATTCACACCATTTTCTTTACTGCGCTGCAACCCCCCATGGCATCACACACCCCCATCCCCGCCCACTGTGCCCTCCCGCCCCTCACGCCCGGCGGCCAGCGTGCCCCTCACCGGCTTCCAGCGGGTAGAAGAACTTCTCGGTGACATAGCCGGGCGCGCGCGTGTTTTCTATGGCCAGCGAGAACAGGTAGTGCGACTGCACGCAGTGCGTGTGGTGCTGCCACCGCTCCTGTGCGCCGTACGTGTGCGCACAGTGCGGGTACAGCTGCAGCTCCGTGCCGTGGAGCGCGGTGGTGGAGCGGCAGGCGCCAAAGGAGTGCATGGGCACGTGCTTCATGAGCGCCTTCACCAGCGCGTCCCTCCACGCCACAAAGTTGGACGCCGCGTGGAACACTGGCACGTCCTGGTGGGTTGTGCAAGGGGGGGATGAGGGGAAGGGGGCCAAGGGGTTGAAGGGCGTGGGGGAGAGGGGGGAGGGAGCAAGGTGATGCACGTGGGGCAGGTTGGGGGGTGGAGTGGCGCAAGGGACGGCAGCACTGGCTGTGCGTGACAGGCAGAAGCAGCAGACAGGAAGGGGGATGCATGAGACGGCAGCAGTCAGCAAGAAGCTGAGGAGGAGGAAAGGGGGGGTTGGAAGAGAGGAGAATGATTGACAGAGGGCAGAAAGAGCCGGGGGGGGGGGGGGGGTGTGAGGGCGCTGACAGTGCGTTTGTTGTCGGCAATATAGCGCTGGCGGTCCCAGTGGAACAGATGCCCCGCATACGTTGCCTGCACCGTCGCGTTTGCACTGAACCCCACAAACACATCCACCCCCGCCCTCGCACCCACCCCATCCGCTGCGCCCCCATTTCCCTCCTTCCCCGTCTCTCCCTTCTCCCCCTCCCCGCCATCCCCCGGTGCGGGTTCCCCCCAGGGGTGCGCCTCGAGGTTCATGTACACGTGCAGGGGGTGGCCAGGCTTGGAGGGCGCGGGTGGCAGCACGCCCTCGAAGAGCAGCGCGTCGGGGTGCGTGGCGAGGGGGCGAGCGCGTGTGAAGGCGCAGGAGAGCGCACAGGGGTGGCACGCATGCACGCCCTCGATGATCGTCTCGTGCACCCACGTGCTGTTCTCCACCTGCTATTGGCGCGCAGGTGCGAGGGACGGTTCGATGGAGGGAGGTGGACCATGGAAGGTGGAGGAGGGGAGTGGAGGTATGTGTGAGTGCATGTGAGAGGGCTGCGGTGCTCGTGTGCATGCGGTGCCGCAGATGGTTCGGGCAGGGAATCCGGAAGAGGGAACTGGGAAGAGCACATGGGGAGTGGCTAGGAGCGTGTGTGGTTGACGGCGCAGCAGCGACGAGGTGCTGTGCGCACTGCAATCGGGGTCACGGGCCTGGCGAGCAGCAATTGGTGCATGGCACGGCAACCAGAGGCACGTGCATGCAGTAAGAACAGGGGTGCTGACCTACCCGCACGGTGACGTGTGGCAGGTTGAGGCGGTGGCAGTGCGCGGGGTTGATGGGCGCCTGTAGACTGGGCGACGGTGGTTGCCAGTCAGAGGGCCGCCAGTCATGGATGCTGGCTGGTGGCACGGTTATGCATGCATGTACGCATCACACACAGCCACATGCAAGTACGCCGGCCCCACATATGTACACAGCCATTCACACACGCACACATATATGGATGCAGACACACACATGGAAGACAATAAATCACCCCGTAGCCCTGATGGGCGACCATCCTGACAGCATGGCACAGCAGCACTAGCTAGCTCTCACAGCAACCGCACGAGCGCCGGGAGTAGCGGCAGCACTGCAGGGTGTGCGACGGCTAGCAGCACGAGGTGCGGCAATGGTGGCGAGCGTAGGAATGCTTGATGCATCCAATGGCTGCCCGGCAAGCAGAGGGCACAGGGAGAGGAGGAGAGACGAGGGGAGATGAGGGGAGACGAGGGGAGACGAGGGGAGACGAGGGGAGAGCAGGGGAGGAAAGGGGAGAGGAGGGGAGAGGAGGGGAGAGGAGGGGAGAGGGGGCGAGAGAGGGGGAGAGGGAGGGAGAGGAGGGGAGAGGAGGGGAGAGGAGGGGAGAGGGGAGGAGAGGAGGGGAGAGGAGGGGAGAGGAGGGGAGGAAAGGGGAGAGGAGGGTAGAGGGGGGGAGAGAGGGGGAGAGGAGGGGAGAGGGGAGAAGAGGAGGGGAGAGGAGGGGAGAGGAAGGGAGAGGAGGGGAGACGAGGGGAGAGGAGGGGAGAGGAAGGGAGAGGAGGGGAGACGAGGGGAGAGGAGGGTGAAAGAGACCTGTGGGCAGCAAGAGGGGTGGAGGTGCGACGGTGAGAGGGGGGAATGGATGGGGTGGCTGGCGGGGCTGTGGGTGTGTGGTGGGGAGGGGGGCTAGGGGAAGGGAGATGCAGGGCGTGATGGGGGTGGCGGGGCCATGGGGGTAGCGCACCGCACCGTTGTGTTTCGCTCTGAACTTGGAGCACCCCACGCGGCGGTCCCACCGTCTGCCCGCGCCCATCACGTTGAACCGCAGCACGTCCTCCAGCCGCACGCGCACCCCGCTTTCCCCCGCGCTACCCCCGCCCGCCCCGCCCGCCTTGTCCCGCGAGCGCGTGCGGGCGGGCTGGGCGCCGTCGACGGGCAGCGTGGCGTCGATGAACTGGTCGTCCGCGTCGCTGATGCGCGCGTCCGGCTCGGGGTCCGAGTTGTTGTACGCCTTCACCTCGCGCGCTCGCCGCTGCCCGCCGCCTGTCCCGCTCAGCGCGCTCCACCACCGCCACGACCACGACGACGACGAGTCGCCGCCCCGCCCGTCCTCGCTACCGCTCTCCTCGTTATCCGCGCCTTCCCCGTCTGGCTCGTCGCTCAAATCCTCGTTAATGTAATTTCGGATATCCGCTGCTCTGAGGGAATTGCGCGAGCGGAGCAGCAGTACGTTGAAGGCAGTGAGAGCGGCGATCGCGCCAACGAACAGCAGCAGCACGCGCCGCCGCCGCGATTTAAACAAGTGCCCACCGGGCCGGGTGGTCCCCGGCTGCCGGCGCCGGCCCGCGAATCGCGGCCGGGCGGCGGATCCGTCGACGAGGGTCCCCGCGCTGTCGCTTCTATTAGCCGCGCCCCGACTGGTGGTGCTGGTGCGTGCACCGCTCACGGCGCCAGCGTGCATGGCGTCGGGCGCTGCTGCTATGGCGGTCGATGATGGCAATGCGAGAGCGCGATGCGATGCCGAGGCGTCGAGTCGGTTTGTGAACGTCGCTCGGTCGCGCGCGTCGCTCGACGAGGACGCGCGTTGTTGCATGGCGGGAAGAAGCAGCGGGCACGCAGGGCTGGCGCGACGAAGCGAGGAGGGGTGATTGGCGGTGATACGCGCTGGGTTAAAGTTAAGGTTATAATATGGTCGTAACCAGTGTACAGACATACATAGAGCATGCAGGGAATATGGAAAAAAAACCAACTGCCTAGCAGGAGTACGTAGTAAAACACGTTATTCCCTAATCCAAGGAGGGATATCCACCAGTAAGATGGAGCGCTCTATGACGGGGGCGCGATTCAGGGAGGGCGGAAGGGGTTTTCAAGGAGCCAGGACACACGTAAATCAGGATGAATAGAGGGGGCGCCGTTGGAGTCAAAATAGATGAAGCGAAGGCGGGAGGCGGCCTTGATGCGCGAGGTAGACCGTTGTTGTTTTTTCCGACCTTGCTTGGCCCTTCGCCACATGAAAATCTTGAAGGCGATGAGGAATTCGGCGAGTATGAGTTGGAGGATTTCAAAATGGGACGACGTTGAGTCATGAAATTTCCGCTCACACCTCGCGTTCCATAGAGATTCTAAGCGGCTGCTCCGACTAACAGACTCCAAGAGACGGATTGTCCTGTTTGAGAGTGAAGGGGAAATAAGAGATGACAAGAAGTGAACGAGAGAATGGATGAACTATGAACGAAGTTAGTACAAATAGGAAACCCTAACTGGGTTGTACCCCCTATGGGATACCCCACTATAGCCTACATAAATGAGTAAGCTATAATGTTCTAACACACCCCCATAGGCAAAGTGGGGGAGAACAAGGGGTCACAAGACCAGTCAAGTAAAGCAAAGCAAAGCTCAGGGTGGATCACAAAGTCACCACACATTCCGAGCACAAGTTCAAAAAGGCCAGAAGGCCAGTTCACATGCAAGATCATATATAAAGATATACAAGAGTCAAGCAAGTAAGAGCAAGAGTATATATAGGTGAAGGTACAAGCAAGGTCAAGAAGTGAGCAAGTGAGGCAAGACAGACACAAGACCCAACTGCGTGCAACAACGCTGATGATCACAAGGCGCAAGTGCCTTAGTGAAGACATCAGTAGTGTTGGCCTCAGAGGCCACGTACGCAAGTCGCAACTGTCCACGCTGCTGCAGCTCACGAGCAAGAAAGTAGCGGAGGGCAATGTGCTTCGTTCTGTGCTCCAGTCACTGCTCTCGACACAAGGCCAGCATGGCCTTGTTGTCTACGTACAGGACTGGAGGAGAACGAGGCTGCTCTCCAAGGTCGGTCAGCAGGTAGGTGAGCCAGCGTAACTCCTGCGCAGCCATAGCCCCAGCGTAGATCTCAGCCTCACAACTGGAGCCGAGAACAGAAGACGAGCGGGTAGCCCGCCACGAAACAGAGCCGGAACCAAGACTGAAGGTGTAACCCTGTGACGACCGCTGCGTAGCCTGGTCGTCAGCCCAAGAAGCGTCCGCGTGCCCAGTGAGGACCACTGGACTCCGCCCTCCAAGCACTAGCCCCATGCCCGACGTACTGCACAAGTAACGCAACACCCTCTTCGCTGCAGCCATGTGCTCTGGTCGGTGTCTCCCAGGAGCAACATAGCGTGCTAGAATGCTAAGAGGGTATGCAAGGTCAGGACGTGTGCAGGTCATCAGGTACATGAGGCAGCCAACAAGCTCTGCAAACGGGCCACTCGACTCTACGGACTCATCCGAAGGCAGAGCTGAGAGCGAGTGGCGAGTAGGCAGAGGAGTGGCCTGAGGCGAGGAGTACGTGAAGCCGAAGCGCTGAAGGACCTGCTGCACCATGTGTGACTGAGTCAGGGTAATGGTGCGGCGCGCTCTGTCCCGGGTGATCTGCAAGCCAAGGTAGCTACGCAGTTCACCCAGGTCAGTGCACGTATGTCTCTTCTGCAGCTCAAACTTCACGTAGGCGAGTCCAGCAGTGTCAGCTGTGGCAAAGACCAAGTCGTCGACGTACACGAGGATGTAGAACGGCGGCAGAGAGGTGTCGGTGCGCAGAAACAGCGACGGGTCGGCAGTAGACGGAGCAAACCCAAGTGCCGCGAGCGTAGTCCTCAGTGTGTCGTGCCACTCACGTGGCGCCTGGCGGAGACCGTAGACTGGACGCCGGAGACTCCACTGGGTACCAGGAGGGAAAGACCCAGTGAAGCCAGGTGGGCGGCGCAGCCAGATCTCCTCGTGCAGACTGCCCTGCAAGAAAGCTGTGCTTAAGTCGAGAGAGTGCAGCTCGTAGTCACGGTGAGCAGCAACGTGCAGCAGAACCCGAAGAGTGGTCATCTTCGGGGTGGGGGAGAAGGTCTGAAAGTAGTCAACCCCCTGCCGCTGACTGAAGCCACGAGCCACGTAACGCGCCTTGAAGACAGGCGGAGAACCCGGCGGCCGCTTCACCCTGAAAATCCACATGCCACTGACGATGTTCGCCCCAGGAGGGGGGACAGCGTCGACGTAGGTGCCTGTGGACTTCCAGGAAGCCATCTCTGCATCCATAGCTGCCTGCCACTGAGAGGAGTAGGGACCCTCTATCGCCTCCGCGTAAGAGCGCGGAGTCGGGATGTCTGGTGCATCCGGGTCTCCCTCAGGGGCTAGCAGTACAGACGCGAGATGGGGTGAAGCGGCGGCCAGACACTGGAACTCCTCCTGCCTGTCCTCAAGGACGTCCGTGTCGAGGGCACACTCACCCCCGACGGACGGAGGACAGGCAGACGCAGACTCAGCGACAAGACTGGCAGCGTAGTCTAGACGATAGCGCGCAGCATAGTCGACAAGCTCAGTGACAAGGGCAGACGCAGCATACGACTCGAAGGAAGGGTCAGTGACAGCAGTAGCAAGGAGACGCGTGACAGTAGGACTGGCAGCACGAAGAGAGTCCGACTCCGGGTCGGCAAGAGCAGGAAGAGAGGAAGCAGGAGGAGAAGGCAAAGGGGCACGCAGAGGAGCAGTGGACGGACGCAGTGACATCCGGTGCGTGCCAGGGACAGGAGGAGGACGCTGACACGACCCGCGACCACTAGCGCGCTCAGTACGAACAGGAGACGCAGGACGAGACGCAGGCTCACGACGCTCAGTAAGACCTCCAGTCGGACCAGCGTAGGGAGAAGGAGCAGGCAAAGGGGAGGCAGGCTGTAGCTGTGGCTGTGACCGGACAGGCTGCGGACCCTCTAAGGGAGGAGGAGAAAGTGGAAGACCAAGAACCTGCTGCAGGAGCGGAACGAAGTACGGTCGAGGCCGCGCGGCGACGCCAGAAACAGCAGGAACAGCACCAGCACCCTCGGCAGGAGCACCTCCAGTAGCACCTCCAGCAGCACCACCAGAAGCTCCAGAACCTCCAGCAGCAGCACCAGGAGCACTGTCAGGCGGACCGCCAGCAGCAGGCTCAGCGCCAACACCCTCAGTAGCACCAGCTCCAGGAGAACTCGCAAACCCAGCAGCTCCAGCACCCACAGGATGAGCACCGCCGGGACGCGCGGCAGCAGTGCCCTCTGCGGCCGAAGAACCACCAGCACCAGCAGCACGCCTCCAGCGCCTGGCAAACCACTCACGCAGCTCCTGTGGGGAGAGTGGCTCCCGGCGAGACGAAGCACCCCTTGGCTCAGCACCCCCAGGCACAGCACCCCCACGCTCAGCACCTCCAGGCTCAACACCCCCAGGCTCAGCACCCCCAGGCTCAGCACCCGCAGACTCAGCACCCCCAGACTCCGCACCCCCAGGCTCAGCACCCCCAGACTCCGCACCCCCAGGCTCAGCACCCCCAGACTCCGCACCCCCAGGCTCAGCTCCCGCAGCAGTACCAGAGCCACCAGTGACCTCGACAGGCTCGACCGCGTCTACCTGGGACACACCTGAAGGGGCAGGACCCTGAGGGGGGAGGGGGACTACCGGGGGGGGACCTGGTACCAAGAAGAGCGGGGGTGGGGGGAGGGACGGAGTGCGGTAGGGGAAGAGGCGGTAGTAGGGTACCGACTCGTCGAACGTGACGTCCTGGGAGGACAGAACACGTCGAGAGGAGGGGTGGTAGAATTGCCACCCAGGGGCGTCGGGGGGGAACCCTAGGAAGACGTAGGGAGCAGCGCGAGGGGACAGCTTGTCCGCAGACAAGTCGCAGACAAACGCCCGAGATCCCCAGACCCGGAACGCCGACGCATCGCCAACCTTCCCCGTCCACAGCAGGGCTGGGGAGGTCTCCGGCCTGGAGACCCTGGGGTGGAGGTTGAGCTGATGCGCTGCGTACCTGACCGCAAACGGCCACAGAAAATGGGGGGCAGCCGCATGCATCATGGACGTACGGGCGACGTCCATGACCATGCCAATGCGGCGCTCAGCAATCCCATTTTGCTGTGGGGAGTCCGGAAGCGTGAAGGACTGGCGGATGCCTCGCGCCCGACAGTAGGCACGTAGAAGGCCAGAGGAGAACTCTCCGCCTCTGTCAGAGTGCAGACGCAACACAGGAAAGTCCGAGCCAAAGCTCTGCCGGAGCTGAAGACGAGCTGCACGGATCCAGTCGATCAGCACCTCAGTAACCTCACCCTTGCTGCGCAAGGGGAAGACTGTGGTGTAAGGCGAGTAGTCGTCAACAACGAGCAGGAAGTAGCGCTCCTGACCCTGTCCACGGACGCGGGCTGGGCCCCACACGTCCATGTGAAGTGTCTGCAGCGGGGCCTCTGTCGGAGGAAACTGGGAGGAGTGAGGGGCAGCACGCTGGCGCCCCTCGACACAGGGGACACAGGCAGGGCCAGGGCCCTGAGGAAGGGGAGGTAGAGACCGGGGGAGACCAGACACAAGAAGACGGGAGGCCATGCCTCTGAGCCGAAGCAGAGAGGGGTGGCCAAGGCGGTGGTGCCAGAGGAGGGTCTCGTGAGACAGACGACGACACGAACAGGGGGAAGACTCAGGACCAGACCTGGACGCTGCGGCAAACACCTGACCAGACGAAGGGACCCTACCAGACTCAGTACCTGGAGGAGAAGCAGTGGTCAGTGTGTACAGGCTCGACCCTGGCCGACGTGTAAACGTGGCCAGGTGGCG